GAAAAACTCGCCGTGAAGGTGGAGGTTGAGCTTAGGGAAGAAGAAGCAGAAGGGGAGAGACAAAAGCAAAGTGGGAAGATCGGCGGTATCGGCAGCGATCGCCTTGCTAGCCTGGAAATCCAGTTACTCCAGCAGGGGCCTCGAGACAATGCGCAGAGAGCAACCCGTGCAATGCCGCCTCGGGAGAGCTGGTTGGGTGAGCGCGACGAAAATAACTCCGGCAGGAGAATATTACGGCACTTTGCAATGAGGAGAGACCAATGAAAAGAGAAGAGCGGCCACGCAACGTACGAGCAAGGAAGAAAGACAAAGAAGCAAGTTAGGCGGACGAGGAGAGGAACACGGATGAAAGAAAGAACGAGATACAAGACCGGAGAAAAAGAAGAAAAAGAAGGAGGGGATGATAGAAGGGGAGGGGGAGAGTGGAGACAGAGAGAACGGAGAATCGCGTGTGCGTATATGTGTATGTGTGTGGTGCATACGTGATAAGGAAAGACGAGGAAGAGTGACGAGAGCGAGAGAGGAGAGAAGATAGATCGTCGCACGAATCGACTCATGGCGAACCATTCGAAACGAGCGACCGGCGGTCGTCTTCTTTTGGTCCGTGACGCGATTGGCCGATCGGCCAATGACTGGTTCTCTCGGCACTGGACACTGGACTATGTGCACTGCGTGCAGCAGCAGCAGCACCAGCCGCCCCTCTTCGCCGCCTCGAGTGCGCTCGCGACTCGTGTACAGTGCACTTCATTGACGGCCGCAAAACTGGTCCACTGCGAGCCGCATAAAACTCCGTTAGAACCAGTTCCATGCGAAACGGTCTTAAAACCCCCAATCCGTGATTCCCTCGTCCCCAGGGGTTTTCCTATCAAACGAGAAATTTATGGAAGAAATCGACCTCTTCATTCTTTCTCTTTCTTAATAAAAACGAATGCGAAAAATCGAAGATCCTCTAACTAATTAGCGGATACGAAATTGAGCGCGAAGTTCGAAAGAACTAGATCGAGACGCGAATCGCTTGTAGAAACGATATTTCGCATATGGTTCGAACTTCAGGACGCGGGTCTTGCATCATGACGGATAATTCGCAATGATCGGCTGTGCGCGCGTCAAACATACTTCTTTTTTCTCTCTTTCACGTACGTATGTACCATTTAACTTCCACGAATACCGGGAAATTCTGGTGCTGCCAGTATGTCTGCCAGTACGATCGGTGGAATCCGAGCTTTCACGGAACATTCCGAACGGCCCCGATTCCTCGAGTTTGCTGGACGCGCGCGGCGTGC